AGTGAAATGTTTGAGGCTGACCTACAGACAGGATGTCTGCTTAAATAAATAATTCAGACACCTCATGGAACAAAAGCTGCTATAAGGATTATACCTAAGCACATAACATCATCCTGTGCTCAGAAGTCTTCTTGCAACTGTCATTGAGCACATTTTGAACAAAGAGTTTTAGAAACATTCCTGCTATACACTTACAATATTTCAAGTATCATCTCATTCTTCTGCAGATCTACAAAAGTAAAATGTGTCAATTTGTGTGGCATTTATTATCATCCCAACCCTGGTACTGTGTTCTGCCTATTTAGAGGAAGATCTTGACCTCAAGCAAGCACATTTAAGTTTTGCCGTTCAATAAAATTGATATAGGGATGTACTCAGTCTGTGTTCTGAAAAAAAGTACAATTGCAGAAGACAAGGAAGATCCTCTTCAGAAGGAAGGTGATACTTGAAAACACCAGTAACATTTGAAAAGGGATGAGGAGATCATCTGCCCTCACTCAGGCTAAGCAAAGGGAATAATATGTGGCTTTGTACCCTTGTCATATTTTGAAAGAAGAAATTTCATCTTGAAAAAGGAAGCAGTAGTTCAAAGCTAAAGCCAGAGAAGAAAAGAATTTTCCCTAACTGGAATTACTAACACAAGAATATTCATCACAGTTATTTTCTTTGAAAGAAATAAAAGAAAAAAAGAAAGAGGTAGGAAGGAAAAGTGGTTCCAGAAACAGGGTTCTGCAGGGTAGCAGGAAGGCTACAAAGATGATGGGAAGTTGTGAGCCAGGAAGCTGTGTTCAGCACTGCATTATTGCCTCTTACAATTGTCTCCTTTTACCAGAAAAGGCACTGAAATTCCTAGGTACTGTTTTCATAAAACTGAATGCTTATATTTTAATTTTTGTACTTAGATTAACTCTCTTTGGTACACCAAACACACTCTGTGTTTCTCCTATAATGTTTGTGTTAGTATGCTTTTGCTATTTTCTCTTATATGTAATAGTTGCCAAATACTGAGAAGCAGAGAAGTTCATACTAAAGGTATGACCTTTGCCACCATTACTGTGTATTAGGCGTATGTTCTTTCAAGAACTGGCTGATTCTTTAGTTGCTTGTTCACACCTTTTACTAATTATTTGCTTTATTATTAATGATAATGTGCCTGTATCCATCTTGTAGTTTCCTTTTTATTGACTGGAGTTAGTCCTCTTATTGCATGTATATATGCTCATGTATATATACATTTCTCACAGTTTAATCTCAGATGAATCATTTACTGAGACAATTTCTAAGGCCAGATTTTGCTTACAGTTTCATTTGACTGCCTCTCCCGTTATCTTTTTTACCTTGATTCTGTAAAACCATTATACAACTTGTGCTCTACATGGTTTAGACTTTCCTCATGTGCATAGCTAAACCGATCTTAAAAATGCTTTCCTGCCCACCCCTCCCTGCTTCTTGAGCTCAGCTTCATTCCTGATTTCTCTACCTCCTCCCACCCATGTGGTGCACAGAATGGGGGTTTTGGTCAGTTTGTCAGATGCCTTTGCTATTCCTTCCTCCTCACTCTGTTCTCCAGCTCCAGCGCAGGGTCCCTCCCACAGGACACAGTCCTGCCTTAACTTCTCCAATTCTGAGTCTTCCCCGTGGGCTGCAGTTCTTAATAAACTGCTCCAGCCTGGGGCCCTTCCCTGGGTTGCAGTCCCTTCGGGACCAGGTGCTCTACAACTGATACTCCAGGGGCTCACAAGTCCTGCCAGCAAACCTGCTGCAGAGTGAGCCTGTCTCCATGGGCCTGCAGGTCCTGCCAGGAGCCTGCTGCAGAGTGAGCCTGTCTCCATGGGCCTGCAGGTCCTGCCAGGAGCCTGCTGCAGAGTGAGCCTGTCTCCATGGGCCTGCAGGTCCTGCCAGGAGCCTGCTGCAGAGTGAGCCTGTCTCCATGGGCCTGCAGGTCCTGCCAGGAGCCTGCTCCAGCACAGGCTTTCTGTGGGGTCATGCCCTCTTTTGGGCACATACCCCTCTTGTGGTGGAGGTTCCTCCAGGGTCTGCAGGTGAATCTGTGCTCCACCATGGATCTCCACAGGCTTCAAGGTCACAGGCGCCTCACCATGTTCTACACCATAGGCTACAGGGAAATCCCTGCTGCAGCACCTGGAGCACCTCCTGCCCCTCCTTGCCCCCTGACCTCGGGGGCTGCATCCTCACTCCTCCCTTCTGGGTGCACATTGTGCAGAAACTTTTCCTCCTTCTTAAATACATTTTCCTAGGGGTGCTGCCATCATCATGGATGAGCTTGTCCTTGGCCAGCAGTGAGTCTGTCCTGGAACCAGCAGGCTGGCTGGCTCTGTTAGACACTGGGGAAGCTTCCAGCTACTTCTCACAGAAGACAACACTGTAGGCATCCCTTTACCAAAACCTTGCTGTGCAAACCTGATACAGATACAGAGAGATCTTTGTCACTCAGATTTTGTTGTCTGCCTCTACACACATCATTTACAGGTAGTATTATTATGCTGCCTGGTTCAATATGACAGCATATATATTATATCAAAAGTAATCAATTTGTAGGAAACAAATGTTATGTTCCTGATCATGGGTCATGGAGAGCTAAGCTATGGTTTCTCTTCAATAATTTTATTTTTGGTAGATCCTCTACAATAATCTTTGTAGTAATTCCTTCAGAATTAATACATCTCTGCATTTTAATAGCTGTACAGACTACAAGGAGGTTTCTATTTAAATTTCTTTTCTCTTATGTCTTATTTTCTTGTGGTATGCATGCTCTGTGTAGCTCTCCTTATATTGTGCTGGAATGGTGTGCAGGTCCAAAGTGCATTCTCTCTTTCAAACAATTCCCTTCTCTAACTGGCACTTGTATGCATCTAATCTTTATTTTATTCTTCAAAAAAACAAACAAACAAAATGAAGACATAAGTATGGGCACCCTAAGTTAAACTTTTCAGCTACTGTACAAACATTGGATTCTACCAGTAGTTCTACTCCAGAATTTTTATGCTGCAGGATGGATTCCAGAGAGTCTGGCACACATGCAGTGCTTGGCATTAGTTATTCATTCAAATCTTGAATGTTTATAAATGTCTCTTACTGAATGATTAATGACACTGAGTCAGTTCCAGTATAAAGCTTAAATTCTCTACAATTTATTTCCTTTATATGCATCCTTAAGCCTGTCTGCTTTGACATCATATTCTCAACAACTTAGAGTGTACAGCCTGACCTGAGAAAACTAACTTCTCCACTTTCCCACTAGAAGGGTTTTGTGGACAAAAAGAAACTTTAGCAGGCAGAATTATCAGCATATGAGGGGCAGTCCTCAGTGGAAGCTTTGATATAGCTCAGTGAATAAATTTCTTATTAATTTCCTATTCCACAATGGATCAAGATGAAAGAGCAGTTTCTTCTTTAAAAACTGTCAAAATGCATATATTTCTAGGTAATTGGAAGAGCAACACATCAGTCTTGTGACTGAGCTGGGAAACACTGGACTTAGTGAAATTTACATCTGTATCCTGATCTGCAAAGCCCTCTTATTCCAACTCTGCCTATGTGTTACAAACACACTGATCCTTATCCATTGTAATTGCTTTATCAGAGTGAACATATCAGATTATAAAATACAAACATCCTAAGACAAAACAAACCTGCAGTCACAAAAATATAATTAAAATGTAGGCATCATTTCCTGATGAGTGGTAGAAGGTGCTCAGAGGTGCTCAGATTATAAATCCTCAAAGTACTTTTTTATGAGGTTCAATTTTACACATTAAATTGTGTAAAATTTTAAAAGATGAAGGCTTTTGTCTTAACAACAGAGGAGAAGAGAAGAGGAGGAGGAGAAGAAGAAAATAAGGGAGAAAAGTGGAGTAGGATGAGAGGCCACATAGGATAAAATAGCAAGGATAAGGTAATTTAGGAAAGAGAAGAAACTTAAAGGATCCTATCTTTTGATTTATTGCCATACACAGCAGAAGAACACGTAGGGTTAACAAAGGTTACGTAGCATTTGAAACCACAATATATCACACTACACCACTGTAAGCATATTTTTCAAACATTTAAAAGGCCACAAATCCAAAACACATTGTGTGTGTGAAACTGAAACTGCTTTACACTTTGCAGTACATGAAAAAGTGCATCATTTCAAATGACATTTGGACCAGCTGTCAACCAAAAAACTCCTTGTATCAGTTGCAGCATATTGGATCATCCTTTGTTGTCTGCAGCCAGGATGATAAAGTGTTATGGGAAGCAGCATTTAGAAAATCTTACTGTATTTCCTGACCAATTTGATGTCAGACAATATCCTGGAGGAGGTGACTAGAAGTTACTGGTTTGTGTAATGAATTTTTTTTTCAGAATTTCTCAGTTGCAGCCAGATCTATGTATATATGTAATATAACCATATCAGGTGCTTTAACTTGCTCAAGCTTCTTGGAAGTAAGGAAGCATTTAACGATCTTTTTACGAGTTCATAGCAACACTACCTATTTAGTCACCATAAGTTAAAAATTACACTCAGATGGAAAAGAAATAAACTTATGTGCCAATATTGCCATAACCACTGCAATCTAGTCTCTAATCACAGAACCGTCATTCCATAAAACTGACAACTGCAATGATGTTCATAGAGTTGTAAATGAACAATGCTGCTATCATAGAACTTTTCACAGAAATATCATCATAATGTCGCAGTTTTACAGAATTTATTTTAATAATGTTTACAAAGCTTAAATTTACTATTAACTTAACTTTTTTTGACCTGAATCCTGGAAGAGCAAAAAATCAGCTCTTTATCTAAAAGGTGTATCAGATATACTTTAGAAGAGACCACTCTAAAATTCTACATGTAGAAATCTGACTTGCATAGAAATATTTAAATAAGTGCTTTTCTTCAACTAAATGCATTCTGTCATCATCATATTTTAAGAAATATTTTCACTACCATTCAGAGTAAAAATCTGTTTTCTATGTATTTGTCTTCTGCTTTCTTTCAGATGTCTCTGCTACACCAGGACCTGAAGTAGGTCTTGAAGTTTCTTTATGTATTTTTATTTGTATTTTCTGTTGTCTTTGCCTACCAATGCCTATTCATTAACTTATTTAATTTTGTATCTAGTTCTTAGATTATAAACTCTGTAAATGAAACTTCTTTCTGTTCTTACTGTTACTCCTTTGGAAGAGAGATAGAGCTACTAGTGTACATAACTTTATTAAAGGTTCTGTGTCCAACTACTATTCCCCATTCTGTTCCAAATCCACTTTTATAAAGATAAAAGTGCTGTGATTATTGCCATGATGCAATTGTTATTGAAAAGAGTGAAGAGAACTTGAAGAGATATAAGGAGAAAAAGTAAAGAAATATATTCCTGTGTGATTAATAGTTCCGCTACAGTTACATATAGATTTTCCAAATGTGACCTCTGGGTTGTCCTAAAGTTTTGTTGGTAGTGCTGCATGTCAGACAGAAAAAATGCTTTATCTTGTGCCTGATGATTTGTCTTGGATTTTTCTAATACTAATAATTTTCTACAAGGTTGAAAGGCTTTTATTATTTTCAGTAAAATCAATGAACAAACAAAAAAATTTGATCATTTTTCCTTTATTCATTCTCAGGAATCATGCATATATGAATTATAAAGGGACTTAGGGAATATTTAATATAATATTTTTGTTTGATAAATAAACCCAAAATATTGTTTCTCCGTGCATGGATGATTAAACTGAGTATCTGAATTTTTGAGACACTTTAGGTTTAGGATAAAACACATAAAATTTATTCAAGCTGACTGTTACTACAGTATGATTGATACTAATATCAAGGGTAAAGAAATTCTCAGAAAATTTGGAAGTGGTGATAGGTTTGTGGTCTGTGTCTGAAAGGTTGTCATGGGAAGAAGCTATGTGGATCCCCTTTCATTTCTTACCTTTTAAGCCAGTTCAGTGTTTAAGCAAGATTTTACTGGAGGAGATCTTTACGATTTGATCTTCAATAATAAGAGAATAATTGTGGTCTTTTTTTTTCATGTTTCTTTCTCTATACCTTAAAATAAATCTCTAGCTGACTTTGAACATGATTGAAACTTTAAGGTTTCTGTTTCTTTTCTGACAGTTCAAGGTAGATAGAAGCAATTTCTTAGATGCAATGCTAGTCACTACTGTGGGATACTTCCATTCACCACCTTTGGCCAGGCAGTTGTTCAAGACTGGTATGTGAATACTGTCTAAAATTCCTGAGGGCACATTTTCCCAAACTGATCAATTTAAAGGTGAATATGACTATCAGACAGTTTAGACTGGTCTGGGTATTGAGACTTTAGAAATTAAGAGTTATTAAGCTGGAAAAGGTATATAGAAATGGCATGAGAACATGCAAAATTTTAAATTGTAAAATTTGTGAGGAAGAGATGTAGAAGTGCAAAGACCAGTTTTCAAAATCCCTTTATGCACTGCAGTAAATCTCCTAATGACATCAGGACCTCTGTCTCGGCCAGCCAGAGCCATTGGATGCCATGACAACTTGAATCCTGTCATCCATGGGTGAGTGTGTCCTCACTGGGGAACAGCACAGGTACACAGAAAGATGGACACCCACGTCTCCCCAGAAGGTGTGTGCACATGGGATAACACCTATGGTCAGGAAAGGGAGAATTTGTGGCTGTAGCCTACACTGTCTGTGAGGGAATGTGCATGCAGTTCTATATGTGCATGGGTGTGAGCCTACAGCATTTTGAAATTGCCTATAAAGAGTGTTTCTTAGCATTTTTTAAGCTTCTACCATGGAGATTTCTATATTGCACTCCTGATATCAATCCTAAATGAATCACTGATTGATTGCTAATTATGAATCATTAATAAATCAATAAATCATTTTGATCTTGAGATGGTTTAAACACACATAAATCAAGAGGTTTTTCTTTATGAAAATTTTCATTATGCTGGTTACATCAACACTTCAATAATTTAATTGACTCTTATAATAATTTCGAAAATGCATATATATATTTTTATATATAGCATATTTCATCAGTTATATACATGTTCCTTTATGGAAAGATCAAAAGCTGTACAACAGTTGCCTCTTTGCTTTTGTCTTAAAAAAAGCAAGAAAAAATAAAGAGGTGTGGTGGCAGTTACTTGTGTCCTTGTTTAACTGTTAGGGCTAATGTTACTCTTAAGAGCTGCAGGAAATACATGTCCTTATTAAATTTTCAAACTCTAAGACAGGAGTGTGGTCTTTTTGTGTGATTGAAGGTCTCATTCATTTGGATTTTAGGACACTGCCTGAAATTCTAAGGTAAATGTTCCACAATTTTAGACATTCCTACATTAAAAAGAAACAGCAATAAAAATTTTAATTTTAAAATATATATAGAGTAATAAGGTTTAATTCTATATTTGACAACTTTCAAGTCAAAAGGTTAATTTAAGTCCAAATCTAATCAACATAGGCACTATTGATTTTCATGACCCACGTGAAAATTCTGTGTAGATAACAGAATTAATTTCTTGATTTGCTGTAAATGTTGATAAAGTTTACTGAGATCTTAAAAGATTCTGAAGGTAGCTCTAAATATGAAGATAAAGCACTTAACACTTTTCCTCAGATCACCAAGAATTAGAGTAGCCATTTACTTATTCTATAGGACCCCTCAGAGTGTCTGTTTCATATATGTGCCAGGAGGGGTAAAATGTGTCCTATCCTTGTTGTGGGGAATCATAGAATAATAAAACATCCTGAATTAGAAGGGACTCACAAGGATCAACTAAAGGCAGCTCCTGCCCTGCACAGAACACCTAAGGGTTCACTCCATGTGCCTGAGAACATTCTTCAAGTGCTTCTTGAACCATCAGGCTGGTGGTGTGAGGCTGATGGCTGTTCCAATGCCTAACCACAATTGGGGTGTAGAGATTTTACCTAATATCAAACTTAAACCTCCCCTGACTCAGCTTCAGGCCTTAGATCCTGTCACTGCTCATCAGAGAGAAGAGAGCTGTACCTGCCTCTCTGCTTCACCTCATGTGGAAGTTGTAGACTGCAGTGAGGTCTCCCCTCAGTCTCCTCTTTCCTAGGCTGAACAGACCACAGCTGAAATTGTTATGGCTTCCATTCTAGGCTTCATCATCTTCACTGCCTTCCTTTGGACACTCTCTAACAGCTTCATGTCTTTTTTTATATTGTGGCACCCAAAGCTGCCCCCAGCACTCCAGGTGAGGCCAGAGCAGAGCAGAGCAGAGCAGGACAATCCCCTCCCTTGCCCAGCTGGCCATGCTGGGTCTGATGCCCCCAGGACAGGGTTGGCCCTCCTGGCTGCCAGGGCACTGCTGGCTCATGTTCAACTTGACACAGACCAGGACCCCCAGGTCCCTTTTGGTGATTCTGCTCTCCAGCGTCTCATTTCCAACTTTGTATAGCAAAAAAACCTCACCCTACTCTCTCTGCCCCACTCCAAAATTCCCCAAACACCACAAAAAAAAAACCAAAAAAAACCAAACCCAAACAAAAACCCCACCAAAAACAAACAAAAACAACAACAACAAAACCCCAAACAAATAAAAAATCCCCATGGAAATGGGGCTCAAACAAAAAGTGATAATATCAAACCACCATAAAAATTAAGGCAAAATACTGGGTCTTTAAAATGTCATATGGACAAGGAACAAGCATGTGAGAAAAGTATGAAGGAAAATACAGGAGTCAAAGACAAATCACAATCTTTAGATAAGCGATCCTACCAAAACCAGTGTAGAAAAAAAGACATTGAAAGATTAACTTTGGCTTACACAGAAGTTACCCAAAACAAACATATACTCCTATCAAATAAGTGTCTCAAAAATCCATTTTGTTCATACTACCAGGAAGATTTATTTAGTTTTCCAGTCAAATAAGTTTAATAAAATCTCTCCTCCATTTGAAGCGTTCTTTTTTACTGGTTTATGCGAATGCTTTCATCTTTCTTACCTCTCAACAGTTTCAAAAACTTTATTGAATCAACTTTATTTAAATCAACTGAAGAGATTCTCTGGTTCTAAAATAATTATCTTTTGGTCTTTATTGTAATACAGTAATAGAAATTGTGTTTTGCACCTTGATGCAAAAATGTGAACTATAAACATGATACTTCCTTAATTGCATAAGGGTTTGGTTCATAGTCATAGTCACAGAAGAGCCATAGTAAGAATTTGATACTTGTTACTGTTAATTGTGATTTAGAGATTCTCTGTCTTGGAGACAGGACCAACAAAAATATGTTTTATTCTGCTTTTTATTTATGCTTCTTTGTAAATATTCTGGAGTTATATTAGTGCATACAATATGGAAAACTTCTGGAGAACTTGGCCTTTACTGAAAGTTTTAGCAGCTTCTTACTTCCCTTAAGATAAGAAATAACTGATGAATCATTTGTTGATTTACACTAATAAAGTTTGAAGATGCTTTTTTTGATAGCACAGTTTTAAAAAGCATTGTACCTTACGCATCACTTTTGTTTTATTTTTATGCAAACCAGATCACTGTTTCTATGCTAATCACTAACTTTTTAATGGAAAATAAAGGGAAGACAAAAGGAAGAAAGGCAACAAATATTTCTGTCAGATACTGACACTGAATATATTATTTTCATAGATGAATGTTATATGCATATATTGGCATGGTAGATGAACACTCAATATTCGATTGAGTATATTGGAAAATGTATTCAGTGTTGTGGTAGGAAAGTTGAATAAAAATAGGGGAAGAGACTGTAAAATCACAGCTAATAAGGAGAGGCAAGAACTGTATTAGCATTAAGTGAGTGGTTAACTCCCACAAGATTAAAATTGCTAACATGACATCAGCAAAGAAAACATTGTTCTGTCATTTATATTGAAACAAAATTTGCTTGATGCCTCATAGGTGGTTCTTATAAAGGAGATTTAGTGACCTATACCAGATGTGCTCTTATTTATCAATAGGATAGGTAGTTAGCATAACTTTCTTTCTAATTGTTTTTGATTGAGAAACTGTGGAAAATGTAGAAGATGGTATCTTTCTAAAAAGTTAGCTGAATTAAATTTTTTAATCTTCCATTTCTGGTAGAGTTGTAAAAAGATCGGCTGTAATATTAAGAGATTTTGTAGAATCACTTGATATTTAAGAAAGGTTATGGGATAAAGTTTTGATAACATTAATTCATTGGGAACCTGTGGTGTAATTCAATGAGATAATGAGGATGACAAGAGGGGAAAGCCAAAGAGATTGCTCATTTCTTTCTAAGTAATGACCTACATTGTCCTTATATTCATTTTGCACCACTGCTCTGAAAAGGAGACAAGTCAAATTTCTTAAAGTAAAGTAGAATCCATCTTTTAATCATAAAAATTACTTAATGCAGTTTCATTTTTATTTCTTGTGGTGAATTTCATACTACCTTCTGGTACTATGTTTGCAATTGATATGCAAATTTTTTATTAATGAAATGGTGATGTTTTTGAGGGAGAAGACACTACTTAATATTTACTGTAATTTCTTTTTTCACTTTTGTACCTTTTAGTTTAACTTGGCAGTTTCTGATTCGTCAGCTTCTCTCTGACTCATCTTTTTAACATGACTGGAGGTGAAAATAAGATGAAAAAGCTTGTGGGTCAAGGGATCTCTTACCAATTACTGTTGTGGGCAAAAGAGATTCAAGTTAGGGAAAATGAATGTAATTTATTGCAAAGTGGAATAGTGTGGCGAGAAACAAGAATGAAAACTAAAACACCTTTCCCCCACTCCCTTCTTTTCCCAGGCTTAACTACATTCTTCTATTCTGACTCCCACCCTGGCTGGCCCTGGGAGATGTGAAGAATGGGCATTGCATTTAGAGGAAATTGGAAGGCCCTGGCACCCTGTCTGCCATGACTTATTTTTGTGCAGAGAATGATGAGAAGATGTGGTGTAGTTGTGTTCTGTATTCCATCATGTTAGTGAAGCAGGCTTTTTTGAGTTGAAAAGCAGGTTCAAGAAATATGTTAAAAGTTCTTATGCATTCATGTATCTGTGAAGTATTTGAAGGCTCTCCTTAGACCTACCTGGATAAGCTGTGATATCTTGTATGGAGTGTAAAAAGATTCACATGAGCAAGTTACAAGGTCTTTTGGAATTCTTTTACCTTTGTTTCTTCTCTTTTCCAATACATAACTACTAAATATTCTAAATAAATTCTAAAAAAATAATAAAGACAATTGTTAGTATTGTATTGATGCTGAAAAACTGATAATGATCTTTTAATAGAAGCTATTCTTTGAAGCCTGTGTTGTATCAAACACACCCTTGTGCACTTGCAAGTTCCCTGCATGTCATGCTGTGATCCTTCCCAGCTAAACATTTCTAGGGGCACCATCAGAACCATTAGTGATAGTATTCTCTTTATCTACTGAGGAAAATCATTTGTATGATACATAAAATTTATATGATTCATAAATACTGTGGCTCACACCACAGTGATGGTGATGACATAATGAGGACTCTGTACTAAGACTAACAAAGTATTGTCAGTACCCCTATAATCAAAGGAGAAGAAATATAATTTATCATACTTCAATCTACCATTGTGAAATTCTGCCAAAAGATAAGTAACATTTTGTGAGCAGCTGCAGAAACATTCTGTATATGTGATGGTGATTAAGAGTAACTGTGTGACCTGAATTGTCTCTAATACTGTTCCACACCTAGTGCTGATATGCATTTGAGAAAGACTAAGATCAATGATAAATAATATGAGAAAGAATTTATTTTCATTTTCTGTTAATTTCAGTCTCTATAATTTTAAAAAGAGATTCTAACAACAGTTCCGTGACTTTGGTAGAAAAATACACAGACCTTAAATCTGTACTCAGTAAATGCATATTAAGAAAATTCCAATATATCCCTAGCAAAATTGTTTCATTAGTTAACAGCACTGATGTGAAGACCCTAAATTTCATGGTATCAATTCTCATGAGAAGTATGTCTTGAGGGGTTTTTTTCTTTTTTTTTCCCACCCTAGCTTCACCTTCCAGCTATTTTTAAATTTTTATTTTTTTTTTAATCAGAATGTTGAAGACTAATTTTTCCTTGTCATCTGTGCTGTATTGACTCCAGCTGGCAGCTAAGCCTTTATCCAGTCTCTTGCTTACACACTCCCCTGTGTTGGGATAAAGTTGAGCTAAGGATAGTGTAATAACTGTAGGGAAAGAATAAATGAAAAAAACCCAGAAGTTATGCAAAGACAATCATTCACCACCTTTCATGAGCAATCTGATGGCCAGTCAGTCCCCAAGCTACTACTTTGGGAAAAACTCCATCAACCTAAACCTGACACAATTTTATAGTTGATCATTGTGTTATATGTCACAGAATATGCTTCTGGTTAGTTTGGGTCAGCTGCCCTCTCTGTTTCCCCTCCCAGCATTTTGAACACCCCCAGCCTACTCACTGTGGGGGCAGAGTGGGAAGCAGGTCAGAAATCTAAAATACACAGCCCCATATGGGCTGCTATGAAAAAAATTGTTCCATCTGGGCCAGATATTATTCACTCCTCTTAAAATATGTCTTTGCAAAACTGATTTAACTGACCCTATATGAGACCATGAAAGATGGCAAGTTGGGCTGCTGAAGAAGGGCTGTTGTAGCTCATTCTCCTGTTCTCACCCAGTTTCAGTTTTACTGAGTAGCCCCACTGGATCAACCCTATAAACCAATCTTTGACACAATTTGTAATATCACTAGGGAGAACAATACTTCAGGTTTTCTTGCAGGAACCTACACTCATTATTTTACTGAGTATGAAGATGCCCCTGTATGAGTCCTTGATTTGGTTTGTTGCTAGAGAAATAAAAACCACCCCATACCCAAACTTGTTCTTTTTCTATGATGCTCTAACTTCCCAATGAAGTTGCTCTGTAACTTGCTTAAACATAACTTATGAATATAAAATTTAATAGATTATGTTATATTTGTGCATGTTCTATTTTTATATATATATAAAAATAATAGTATCATAACAGGACTCATGTTCACAGCTGTTTTTAGGATTTCCACATTATGTAGTTGACAAATGTTTGCAAATAAAGAGCAGAAAAATCAAAACAAGAAAATGAAAGACATTTTAAAATCAATTTACTAATCAGGTCATGAAAGTTAAAATATTTTATCAGTATTTGTGAACAGAAAATAGCCATTTAAAAACTTTTTAATTAAAATTCAATGTTTGCAATGTGTTACTTAGTCTTTAATATCTTTTCTGTTTTCAGATTTATTTGTTGTTTTCTGCCTAAGCTGTTCCATGGCTGATAGATGGTCCTCTGATGAGCAATTTGAGTCTGACAAAGAATGCTGTTTGAGAAAGAAGAAACAGATAAGAGAGAAAAGAGAAAATGGAGAAAATGGAGATTCATCAGTCCGACATTTAGCATAGAAACTGGAAAGTCTTTTCAAAAATTAATATTAATAATCATACATAAATGTCATTTTAGAAAATGATTTATACAAGAAAATTATCAATAATTATGCCTTTAATTATTTGAAAAAATCAAACTCTGCGGTGCAGAAAATGTACTCAAGGCTTTCCAGTATTAAGCAGATTTTAAAAAATAGTAAGAAAGAGAAAAATTGAACAAATGATAATTTATACTTTATAGGCTTTTTAAGAGCAGTGAAAAACTAAATAATGTGAACTTTACTTATTTGACATTGATGAGGGGATTTGGTAAATTTAAGTGGTTGATATCAATAATAAACCTTCTATTGGTTTTGAATATATTTGGTCATTAATTTGGAGGCTTCATCTAAATAGATTTTATGGAGGTTTTGCTTGCATGAATAATTTAAAATAGTGCTTTTCCTGTATGAAAACAAGATCTTACACACAGTTCTGTAATGAAGGTAGTCTGCATTTTTGTGTAGTCATTAAAAAAAAGAAAGGCATTCATGTGGTTGACTAGCATTTAAATATGCCAGCACCTCAGGGAGTTCACAGAAGTCTTATGATTGAGAGATCACACAGAGGAGCAGAAACAGGATCACCTCTAGTCTCTGTCCTAGGCTTCTTTACAACCTTGAATGAGTCGCTCGAGGTTCCTGTGCACTAAGCAGCACCAGGTCGTAACAGAACTGCCTTGAACAGCAAAACTGACACAGCTCTTCGGGTCACATTGGTAATGAGCTGTAATAAGTGTTGCATTGTAAGGCTATGTTAGCTACTTCTCTGTAAAAAAATACTTTTTTTATGGGATTGCATCCAGCAATTAATTTACTATGGCCATTCTCCACACGTGTGCTCCTGTGGCACACTTGGAGACGCAGTCACACCACTACGTATCTTCCTTGTCTTCATTTCTCCTATACTACTCATTTCAGTTTAAATAGCATCTTTTCTCACCAGCTAATTTACTGCTACCTTTTAAATAACTCGTCACTGACAGAGGACTGTGCTGCAAGATGTAGACAGAATTAGTCACACTGTTCCTTAACTGTAACAGTGGGAACACACAGAAGTTCTCTCTTTCTTTCTCTCCTTTCTATTCTAATTATAAATTGATTGAACTGTAATTTCTATTATTTTTTAATGTTTTTTATTATACAGACATGTTTGGATCTAAACTGCAGTGTAGCTGATCTATTGTGTGACAATGAAGACTAGAAAAGATATGAACAGAAGTGGATATAAAATGCCCAGTGTGGAAAGAAATTTGCAACAGTTTTCTAGATGGGGAATAGCATTGGCATAATTTTCCTTGAAAGATCTGGTACTGGATATATACCCAAATAAATAATTTCATAATTCTTTTCCCTAGAAAGTTTCTATATTTAAAAATTAATGAAATCATAAATCTAGATTTTTTTCTAAGAATAGGAAATAATATTTGTTTGTCAGATTTACTCTGACAATTATTTACTCTGAGAATTATGAAGTATGTCTGAAATTTCTGTGTAGGGAATGGGAACAATCTTAGCAAAGATCAGCTGAACAAAAGCACGTTAGATTACTCTTCAGCATTTCTCACACTATCATATAGATAGTACTTGCTTAAACTAGATGTCTACATTTTAGGAGGATGAGATTGGATGAGATTAATTTCATCCTGTGGTACTCTATGTCAGACTAAGAATTACTAAAAGCTAAAGGTTAAGGAAAAATTAATCCTTTATTAGTTAAACAGGATGATATAAATTTCTTTCATACTCCATCTCTGGAAAACCCATTTCTGTATGGGCATTTTCTATTAATCTCTTTATCTCCTACTCATTCGGTCTCAGATGAATTTTCCTTTCAGTCAATTTTTACTGTAATCATTTTTCAAGTTTTCTTTTCTTTTTAAAAGAGCATCCTTCCACTAGACCATGGTGCACTCACTCCAATTTTGAATGTACCACAGCCTGATTTTCTCTCTTCATTCTCACTCCAAACAATAAACACTTGAGAGTTCGTTAGTCAGCTTCTTATTCTCCACCTCACCTCTTCTTTTTTCTCTAGGTCCCCTCATCCTTTTTCTTCTATTTGATTCTTTCATTCATTCTTTTCTTTTTTCCTGACTATATGCTAGCTTTTCTACAGAGAAATTCATATCCCTGAGCTTTAAGAGCTAGGGTGGAATTCAACTGCTAACTTAAAGCTGTAAGAGTAGTTTAAGTTAATAGGTTGTTTAGGTAGTTAAAAAGATAAATAAAAATCTTCAGAAGGCATTTTTTTCCAATATTAATTCTCTCAATCTATAGTAAATGGGTCAGTTCTACTCAGATGCATTTGTCTGTTAGTACAAGTCACCTAGGCCCTTAGCTTTAAATAGATGCCTTGGTTTTAGACAGCTGCTTCTCTCGTGACTCCCTGCCAGGCTGACAGATGAGCACCTTAGTGACCCTTAAAGCAGTCACCCAATACAAGAACTTATAATTTCTTTTAATGGTATCCACTGCATGCTCAGCTCTTGTTTGGGTTCTCCTGCCTCTGAGAATCCCCATCCACCTGAATCCAGTGCTCAGACACAGAATTTACCACCGTTGCCACTGCCTACCTTGCTGAGTGCTGATTTTTTATGTTCAAATGTGTGCATGTGTATACACCTACATTGAAAGGCTATGCCAATAGTATTTAAGTTGTATGCAAACATGCCATATTTACATTCCCAAGTACATTTATGGATATA